AAACTTCTACGTCCACAATCCTCGTCAGCAGGCATCTCCCGCTGCCAGACTTCTGCAGCCGCGACAGACAAGCGGCCGCGTCATCCAAGATAGGGCCCGCCATAGCTCCAGCAAGGGAATTGATATCAGTGCTGGACAGAACTAGGGGCCAATTGTTCCGTGGACCCCTGTTCGCCGCCGACGACGCGTCCACTTCCTTGACCCGCTTCGGAGGATCGGCCATGAAGCCCCGTCTCGCGGATATCGGAAGTTCCGTGACTCCGTCAGAGCGAAAGAAAAGATAAAGGCCGCACAGCGCGCGAGAGGAGTCGACAACTTTCCAAGCACGATATGGCACGCCATCTTCGCCAGGCACACTGCGAGACCGCCCACGAACAAAGTCGCGCCATTCCCGCGCGACAGCGTCCAGGAACGAGGAAGAGGACGAGGAACGCACTGCATAAAAAAAACGATCTCATCCCCGAAGTCCCCCGCCCAGAAAAGGGGGGCGCCCGGCGCGCATTGCTTCAGCGCTTCGGCGGAGTGGTCGAAAGACGCGAAGGGATTATCTTGATCGTCGTAAATGCGCGCGAAACGGACGCGACTGCGAAAGCGGCGCCAGAGCTCTTTCTTGGTACGCTGCTGCAGGAGTCGAGTCAGACAGATCACCCCCCCGTTCTTCCTGGCCCAGAAGCTGCATATCGATGGAACGCACTGGCGAGAGCGACCCAGGAACACTCGCGCATCTGAACGTGGTCAAATTGGAATGCTGCTGCAGAACAGGGCAGCAACGCAGAGCACGAGCAATCATCCACTCCAAGCCTAGACGCCAGCCTTAGAGCACCTGAAGGGCCCAACGGTGTTTGGCCCCGAGGGGCGGCCAGTTCACGTTGGATGGAGCCCCGAACTTTATCCGCAGAAACGAACATAGCTTGCTTAACCAATTCCAGGCGCTCGCGGCCTCAAGGGACTCCGAGAAGTCGCCGCGACTAGCAATCCACAACGGTATGGGAGGAGAGGAGATGTCAGTCTTGGAAGGCTCGCTCGAGAAGTAGAGGGGGATTGGCTCGTTGGGCATCTTCGCGCCAAGCTTGCCAACCACTCCAGGTCGCGCGCGGAAGTCGCGAAGCAAGGCCCGAGGCAAAGAAAGGCGGCGCGACCTGGGCGGGCAGCCCGCGTCGCGCACCTCGCGCCGAATATCTCGTGCTCGATGGAATTCTACCACGCGAGCAAAGGCCTGATGGAAGAGACGAGCGCGAGCTCTGTCCCCGGGGGGCCACCCTGAGCCGCGCCCTCGCATGCGCCCTTCATCCTCAAGAAAGAAATTAATGTCACCGAGAAGGATGCGATGACTGCCTGCGTTCGCTTGACAAGCTCGCTCGGCCACGTTCAGAGCGCAGGGGCGGATGGGGGGGGCGCCGCCGGCGTCGGGGAGATGGAGGCCGCAGGCCGAGAGGAAGCCCGAGGGCCAATGGGACGAGCGAGGAAAACGCGCCCAGGCATCAGTTCAATGCGTTGGATAATGGGAAGCGTGCAAGAATAGGACCACTAGCCGCAATTCCAACACCTTCGCGCTGACCGTCAGAGAAGAGGGGGGGGCACAACATTGAAGCCTTGTCTGGAGGAGTTCAGCTCGCGACGGAGCTCTCCGATATCGCCGACTTTCCGACGCGCTTCCTGGCGGCATGTCATCTAGAATCACGCGGCGCGTGCGAGGGGGGGGCGGGGGGGCGAGCGCTGGCCCGCCAACTAGCGCTCCAAACAGAGCTGAAAAAGCCGCAGGATTTCGGCGAGCAGACAGATAGCAGCTCACAGGGGAGGAAAAAAAGACAAGTAGAGGCGGGGAACAAGAGGGCCATCGTCGCTGCTGGAGCCAGGGCGCAGCGGCGTCTCACTTCGATCGGGAGCATCGTCCAAAAAGCCGTCGGATCTGAGCCGCGGCAGCCTCTTATCTGCTGGATGCGGCCCTCAGGTCTTCGGGTGCCCTCAGCGCGCGCACCAATCCACCGAGGCCGTCGATCGAGACAGGAAGTTGCCGATCCTGAAAGACGCGAGTGGGGCGCGAGCGGGCCCGCCCCGTGGAGGAGAAGAGCTGGCGGCCAGTAACACCCCGGTTTTGCTCGACGCACAGACTTAACGGGGTAGATGGCGCGAGCGAGTCCGCAATCGCAAACGGGCCGTGCGCCATGGACTTCGTCGCAAAATTGTGCACGTGAATGAGGGCCCCCAGCTCGAGGGAGATCTTCTTGGCCATGTCAAGGACCTTGGTAACGGCGCGTTGATGGCAGCCGAGCGGGGCAAACTTTTGGCGGATGGACGCTCCATCGCTGCGCGGCGTCGGCCGAGCCATCCTGAGCAGGAAGCCAAGCGCGATGAGCCTACGCGCGTTGCCCCGCGCCTTCCCCGCGCGAGAGGACAATGTCGAGCGAGAGTCTTTCGAGGAAGGTGAAACGGACATCGCTTCCAGCTGCTCCTCGATCGCCTGGATTCTATGCTTCGCTGGGTTGCAGGGGTTGCCATCATCGTCAGCGTCGCGTTCCCAGGCTCAGCGTAGTTGATGTGGGACTGGGCGTCATTCTTGAAATTCTCGAAGCAATCGTTGAGGCCCGTCCGAGCCGGCGACGCCCGGCTCTCGAGGACCGCGAACTTCTTCTCAGTCCCAGACGTGAAGTTGCCTATCTAGTTCGTGAGCATGTCACAGCGCTGTCGGGTTGCCCGCGCTTGCTTCTCGACCAGGAAGACGTCGTAGCTGCAAGCCGCGAGCTGTCGCCCGAAGCCCTGGAAGGACGAGAGCTACTGATCGAGCTTGTCATCACACGTGAAGGTCTGTCTCTTCGGTCGCCGATCGGAACGCGCGCGGCTCGCCGAGGCGCCGCGGCTGCTGCGGAAGCTCGAGCGAGTCAGAACGAGCACGGCTGGGGCTCGCGGCCTCGCGAGCACGACCCTGGCCCTCCATGACTGCAGTGCAGGAGCGGAGAGGGAGAAGAGGACAAGGTCCGCGAAATGCAGCTGACTGCTGGCCTGGGGCAGGCACCCTGAGGAACAGCGGTCTGAACTGAACTGCTGCTCCCGCCCAGCTGGCTCGAGAGATGCATTACTTGGGCCAAATTGGCCACGGAGAGCTGTCGTTCCAACTTTGGGCGGCGGTTCCCCTTCAACCTTCTGGAAGAAGCGCCGATCGTAGACGCTAAGGAGACGCTCCAGTTCTGCCGTCGGCTCGTTGAATTGCTTGGAGGTCTGGAGAAACTTATCCTCTAGCCAACCGCGCTGCACCAATTCTGCTTCATGCCAATAGACCTTGGTAGGATCTCATCCTGGCTGGAAACCAACACGAAACATAGGGTCCTGGTTCTCCGGGATCCACTAATTTTGCCTGTCGACGAAGAACATGTGGGTCATGCGGCGCTCGCGAAGAAATTGCGCGATCAGCTTGTCAATACTCCCCACCTTGACTTTGAAGATGCTATTGCCGGAGCCGGCACGAAAATAAGTAGAACCCCAAGGGGCTGCCGGGACTACGAGCGAACCCGCTGCCATTTCCCAGGGAGACGAAGGGCTACCGATGCCTACTGCTCTATATTGCCAACAACACCGCACGCACCAGTGAACTGCACCGTGCTGCTGTTGTCCATGCGCTCGCCCCCAAAACCGAAACCCACTGTGATGTCAGCTGTCTTGAACCGCGTTCCGACGAATGAAACCATTGATGTCTTGCGCACCCACGGGGGTCACCACCTCGAGCATTGTACCGTCAACGTCATGTTCGAATGAGGAAGAACCCATGCGCGGAATGGGCGGTACCTTGGCGATGTCAGCGGTCTTGTTATTCAAAGAGCACCACCCCGTGAGGCGATGTAGTCGATCTGTGCCTGGAAGCGTCTCCCGAAGGAGTCAATGCCGGGCCTGATCGACTTCCCCCGTGTTTCCTGCATGAATATGGGGCCTTATGGAAGGCAGCTCCCAAAGCCTTGATCGCGGCCAGCGCTGCGGTGATCGCGCCGTCCGAAGCTGTTTTGGCATGACCTACCATTTTCTGGCCCAGCGCGTCTATGAACTCCCAGAACTTGTTTGAGAGCCCTGGGACGTACGGGTCCCAGGCCCCAGGAGATTGGACCCATGCCGTCGTCATCCTCATGGGAAGCGGATCGCCCAGACGTGGAGCGATCGTGGAATCAAGCATGTGGACCAGAGATACCAAGCGCACCATTGTTCGCCTTGGCCACCTTCTTCTTGCGCTTGGCGAGAGCATCAGGCATGTGGCTGGCTGCAAATACGGCAGTAAGAACTGGAAATGCTGCAGTTCACCCACCACCCCGTCTGCCAAGATGGGGGGATGGTCCTGCTCCACCAAGAGCTCGCCAAGAACCGAACTGCGGCCGCCACGAATCAACGGTGCCCACCTCGTCTCCACGGAAGTGGGCGTCTTGACCGAAACTGGCTACGGATGGAGGACGAGGACGGGGAGGACGAGGAGGAGGAGGAGCAGGACGACGACGACGACGACGACGATATACTGGACGACGAGGACGGCGACGACGATGCTTACCGGCGGCGAACCCAGGGGGGGGACTGCTGAGGGGGGCGGGCCTTCTCCAGAAGGCTCGGAGGTCCTCGGGCCTTCTGAGAAGTGCTTTCAGCCTTCTCCGGAGACAGAGAAGTTTTCCCAGAAGGCCAGAGGGTTTCTGAGAAACCCCGCCGCCTTCTGAGAACGCCTGCCCCCGCTCGCTTCCCCCCCAAGGCGCGCCGCCGAGAGGAGGAGGAGGAGGAGGAGGAGGAGGAGGACGACGACGACGATGGGTTACAGGGGAAGAGGAGGAGGAGGAGGAGGAGGAGGAGGAGGAGGAGGAGGAGGAGGAGGAGGGGGAGGAGGAGGGGGAGGAGGAGGGCTGGAGGAGGAGGAGGAGGAGGAGGAGGAGGAGGAGGAGGAAGGGGAGGAGGAAGGGGAGGAGGAAGGGGAGGAGGAAGGGGAGGAGGAGGAGGAGGAGGAGGAGGAGGAGGAGGAGAAGGAGGAGGAGGAGGAGGAGGAAGGGGAGGAGGAAAGCGAGGAGAAGGAAGAGGAGAACGACGAAGACGACGATTCGGATGATCAAATCGCGAGGAACAACGGCTGCTTCGATGCCTGGGCAAACCTGAAAAAGCAGCGCTCCTGGCCTGCACCAGAGGGAGGAAGCGGAACACCACGATCTGAGAGGGATCTGAGCGGGATCCCGATCCGCTAGAGCAACACATTGTGATGCCCAGTCCATGTCAGAAGACACTCAGCAAGAGATCGCGACTGGAGCAACAAACATATCAACATATCAACATAGCAAGAGTGAGAAGCCTGCCTGAACATCTGCTGGCCGTCTACACTATCTTGGAACACGACAACCTGCGACAAAGTCAACAAAATGAAATCCACCAGACGGGAAGCATCACGCGCACAAGCCACGACGTAGACAAAGTGGCATGACGCCTTTTGACAGGAGAGGAATGGCATAGGTGTGCGCTCGAACTGACAATGTGTAACAATGCCCAACTCGAAATGATAGTTTTCTCTTTGCTCTAAGATGTAGAAATCAGCAACGGCGAGTAGCATTGACATACCGAGGAGACATGACATTGAAAATCGACTCCCAAACAGACTCAGTCTCACACAGACAAAAAAGAGCAACTACCCAGTTCGAAGCATGAAGTCCAGTCGGATCAGTGGGGCAATCTGCATCGGACTAAATGCCACTCCCGTACCCTTCCTCGACCATCCCGACACAGACGCCCGATCCCCAGGCACATGTTGCGGGCTGTCTGGTAAGACCCTCCTCGATGCGACAGACATCACCACGAGACCGCCGACCTCGACCCCAGCGTTCCCGAGCAACTCATAATCCCGAACCGATGGGTGCGCCGTCGCGGCGCTTTAGCAAGGGCTCCCAACTTCGCGCTTCGCGCTGCGCGAAGCGCGAAGTGCGAATGACTTCGCGCTCTCGCGCCGCCTCCCAGGGGAGGAGAGGAGGACGAGGAGGAATCGGAGCCAAACCGCGAAGCGCGAAGCGCGAAGAACTTCGCGCCCTCGAGGGCGCCCTTGCTTCAGGCGGCAGAGCGCGGCGGCCGAGGAGCCGCGCCCGCGCCAGCGGCAGCGGCGACGGCGCAGGCGGCTGCGGCAGCGGCGGCGACGGGGGGAGGCAGGCGGCGACGTCGGCCTGGGCCGCGCAGCGCGCCCCCCGCGCCCCCGCGCCCCCTGGGAAGGGCCGCCTCTCGGACCCAGACCGCGGCGCCCAGAGCACGGCTGGCGTCGCGCACATGGGGGGTGACCCGGTGGACGCGACTGCGGCGGTGGCACTGGCGCCCTCGCAGCCAGCGGTGCCAGTGGATGGCTTGGCGAACCGGCTCGCCATGGACAACGTGGAGATCGGCCTTACCGCCGCGTGTTTCATGCCTATACGCACGGTGCAATATGGAACTGCGTGTCATATCCACCCGCACCCTCTAGGGGCATCTGGCTGTAAGGTCGTTGCTGGACTGCCGTTGCCCTGACATGTCGTGCGTTCTATTTGCTGTCTTGTCTCCAGGGTCCTGCATCTCCGATCCTGTCTACTTCCTGCTGTCCACGGGGGCCCAGGACGGCTGCCCTCCCCCCGTGCAAGCCCCGGGTGATATGATCTCAGCCCCCTGGCGCCTCGACATGACCTAGCATTCACCCAGGGCCCTTGCCAGACGAAAGGTGGGCACGAAAGACTTAGGCCCCCTGAGGCCTCGGAGTGGCCGAAAGAGCACCAGGCAGTGCAAGCCCAAGGAGGCTCGTTGCCCCCAGAAGCCCCCAGGAACACCCGATTCACAAAGCGTCCCACAAATGTCCCCACGAGTGGCGCGGATATCGATCGCAGCTTGATGACTCGCGCCCTTTCTGCATCACTCCGCCCTGCTTCTCGCCGCCCGGACTCTCTCGGCCTCGCCCCAGGACAGCAGTTTTACGGGAAGGCGCCGCTTGACCAAGTCGATCCTGCACATCAAGCTGTCTTGAGACGGTTCAATGTTCGTACTTGCCAGTCGAACTGTCCAACGGTGCCAGGGAAAACTTCACGACAGAAAGCCAGGCCACCGGCGAGCCGTATTGGCTGGGAGAACACGCTCCGCGCAGGCAGTGAGTCATAGTGTTAGGTCGGGCGTGTCCCCCTGCAGGGGGTTTTCGACGAAACAAATAATAGACACAAAAAACATCAAAAAATACTAAGAAGAGATTCCCCATACTATTTTTTGATTATTTTTGAATGTTCCCCCTGTAGAGGGACAAGCCCGATTTAATCATAGTGAGGGTTGTGTTTGCAAAGGTTGCTCCAGGATGCCCCTAGAGGCCCTACGATGTTTCGGAATGCACTTCAGAGCGAATGAGGCTTACATACCTTGGGGGCCAGCGGAAAAGGATGTTGCTCTTCGGATCCGTCCGCTTCCGCCTGCGTTATGGGCCGTGTGAGGTCACTGTGCCGACACGTGTGACCATCACCGACTGATCAAAATCGACTGGTTCCTCTGTGGCGCGCTACAGTCAACCCGTATCATAAGGATGCGCGGTAAAGCTGGAAGGGCCTTGGAGGGCCAAGTTGACGTTTTTCGAACGAGGTTGGCCAGTGAAAGTCGCCAAGGATGGGCCGAAGAGACAAGGATGCAAGGGTACCCCTGGGAAGGTTACACATCCTTCCTATGCGGATTGGCTGTACTGTGCTGGCGGTCCCTCCGCGGGTCCGCGCCCTGGCGCGCCCCCGAACGTATCCATGGCCCCAGCACGGCCACCAGACCGCCCCAAGTGGGCTTCGAGAGCTCACAGGTGGTCCCAAGACAGCCCAGGAGGGTTCCCGAGATTTCCCTATGGCGCTCCAATACGGCCCGCGATTGCCTCAAGCCGGCCCAAGGAGGCGCCCAAGACGAGGGAAGTGAAAGGGCATCTCGAGCCTTCCCCTTACATTTGACCCCAAGACCCCCGATTTTCCCCCGAGAGGCACCAAGAGGCCCACAAGGAATCCCGAAGAAGCCCCAAGGCCCCCGGGAGGCCCCGAGAGGCACCAGAAAGGCCTCCCAGAGAGGCCTCCTGTCCACGACCCAAGCACGGCGGTGCCCTTGGCCGAGAACCACTATGTAGATTATCCGAAGATGCCTTCGGGCAACCCACTGCAAGGATAGCTGGCATGATCCCGCAACGTCATGACTCTCGAGGCTGCGCGCCAATTCACCGAACTCCCAGGGAGCGGGGTGTGATGCGCCACCGGCGTCCTCGATATGATACCGTCACGCTCTGCTGTCACTTAGCCCCCGAACTACACAGGCCTGGCGCCGTTTGGTGCCATCGCGGGCCCAATAATCAGCATTGCATTCGGGGCCGTACTTGCCCAGCGCGCTGGCACGGGCCAACTCAATTCGTTACATTTGCTGCGAAAGAACAGGCGGTTTGACGACCAGCTCAACAATCACTGGGTCACGGGGGCCGTTGTAGACGAATGGTGTGAACCAGTCGCACGTGAGCGTGAGCAAGTCGAACAGGAAGGAGCCTGCTAGCTTTAGGTTGAGCCTGCCCCCCTACAGGAGGATTTTGGGCGCGAAAATAAGAATACTCGACACATACATTCAGATTTTTATTCGGTAAAGACCATGAACCTGTTGGACGTTGGCACTCATACCCTCGCCCTCAACGTGGCTGATGCGCGATTTTTTGATAAATCTAAAACTCCCATTGTTTCAGCAAAGTAATACAAGGACGGCGAGTTCAAAAACTCTCCTTACAACATTGAACTGTTTTGTCTAAACCCGAGATCGCAAAAATGATTATTGAACGCGGATTCTGGTGCTCCGATGCAATCTTGACGAAATCGCCATCATCTAACCTTCTTGACGTCGAGACTTTAGTTTGTCTTTCAACACAAAACGTTCAAATGAAAACAATACATGGAACGCTTATCGCAAAGAAAACCTTCGCATACATGAATGGTATTTCTTATGTGTTGTCAGGCCTCACTACTTTGCATTCAACAATTAGAGTTGTAGACTTCGGAAGCATAACTAGAAACTCCCGCTCACTCTGTTGACTCATTCGATTCCGTCCATCTCTTCCACTTAATTATTATGTTTTCCTCCGGTTATCGTACTTACCCTTTGTTTGTTGTGTATTCTGTCGAGAGAAATAACAAATATTCTAACAAGGATTGCAAATGTTGTTTATTTCTGTTTGGTTGTGCTGAAGATCCCGCTACATGAATACATTATGATGCGTATTTTCCAATGCTGGAACTGATTGTTTCCTGATTCATTTTTGCAGATTTTTTTAAACAACAAAAAAATCTCGTTTGGATCTTGAATTTGACATGTCGTGTGAAATATGCTATCTAATATCCGTCTCCAGGTATCAAAAAACTAGAACAAACAATATACTACACAAAATGAAACAAACTCTGGATAGATAGAACAACACTGCCGGAAAACAGACGAATAGATCGGACGGCAGCACACGGAAAGGAATTATATCGCAATATATATATATATATATATACATACATACATACATACATACATATACATACACACATACATACAGATATGGTGAGCAGTCGACTTCAAAGTGGAATTACACTTAAATCTAAATCGAATGTATCTCGTAATTGTATATCCATATCCCAACCACGGAAACACCTAAATCTAGACTGAATTACATATTTTCCACTTTCAACTTAGCAAATTAAATTTGACTGTACTTAACTCAACGAAGAATATATACCTATTGATTAACTCTGCGTCTAATAAACCACAAACATCTCTCAAAACCGTTTCGTTGATGTTCACATAGGGTGAAATAACTAGCGTTACATCACCAATTCAGAATAACTGGTTGCGCTAAACAAATGCAACACTGCAAAATGCTGGTATGTGTGTACCATTAATATGGTATACATTGGCCCTTACTTAAAGCTACCTTCATCGATGCCAGATCTAGAAATACTTTCTGAAGTAAAACCCAACGTAATATTGCAACAACCATAGAACACCGAATCTGAAACATGTAAACAGTGTTTTTCGACGACCAACAAACAGAGTACAACATTTGACTAAAAAATAATATGCTTTCACCAATTTCACAATGTTCTACGTAATGCACTGAAATAACAATGTTCTGTGAACAATTACCTTTTATTGTAAATGAAGAAAAAACTCCCCTGAAAATTGTAACAAAAGTATGAGAAACTGCTGCATAAGAAATTCTTGCGCACCAGTACGTCAAATAACACATGAAATAATTTCCATACTGCAAATTACTAAACTCAATACTATTGCTGATAAGCTCCAAACTGCTATGTTTTGCTGTGAGAAAAATGAATCACAATGCGCATCTCGCACCAAAGTTTTAGAATACATATATGCTTGGTTCAAACACTTGTACCACCGTAAAAATACGCATCTATTCCGCGGAAAAATACTAGCTACATTGAACCAAACTAAACTATAATGATACTGCTTCTGTTTGCTAAAATAAAATTGAATAACGATTCCTCCAAACCTGCCTCGCGCTGATCCGCGACGTCGACGCAATGAAGACTGCGCTTCTCATCGGAAGCAAACGCGTTAAAGCAATTGGCAACGCGCGGCCACCTTCAGAAAACACTAACGAATTATACTGTCATAATTCACAACTCTGTACAGGAATAACATTGGCACATGCTGGTTGGAAAGTTTTGCGGCTGCATCAGGATCGCATCCATCGGCCTCGTCCTTTGTGCTCCGTTCTTCGTAGGCCAATGATGTAAGCCGCGCCCAGGCTTTGATATGTGCTGCATTGAACCATTGTGACATCCTGCGTTGACCTGAAAACTCAAAGCGTTGCATACCCGACATATGATGTCTGCGACACTGCTATGCTCATGATTTACGTCCAATACATCCTTGATCAATCTATGATTTCGTTCGACTGCATTGGGTGCATAAGACGAGAACCATACGTAACCCCGCCTAATCCCGCCTGCCATGATTCTCGAAAATATCTTGCCGACTGATCGACTACATGTGTCTTCATATATGCCGCCAAACGTGGCTGGTTCCAATCCGACTTCTTGGCAGAACTTTTCATGAACTTGAAAATATCAAATCAAAATACATTAAACTCTAAATCAGAAGGAAGCCAAGCTGACGATGTAACGAAGTCGTCCACGATAGGTAATATCTCTAACTTGCACGTTCGGGTTTTTTTTCCGGAAACCTCGTCCTTCTTTTTCGTTCACCTTTTAGATTTGTTCGAGCGTTGTACACAGCCGTACATGAATGAATGTTCGCCACAATGCTTCTCAATAAACTGAGAAAGAATGCATCTTCATCTCCTCTAAATAAAGTCTTGCCAAAAGTACGCGTGCGTCTTCCTCTTCTGCGTCAAAAAACATCAGAATGGCCGGCATAAACCACAAACGCGGTTCGCCTGCGATAGGAACTTGCCGCAAACCCACGAGGCCGACATCTCCGAATAAAAGACCGCGTTGCTTTGATCTGGATGTAAAATCAGTCGAAAATACG